ATTTTTTATTGCAAAATAATCAACGATTTAATATTTTCGTCCAAATATTTTTTAAAAATCAAATTTATCTTTTAATATATTCTGGAATATTTAATTAAAAATAAATATTCAATTATTTTCTCCACATATCGCCACCAGAGAGCAGCAAAGTTGGCGTGGGGGACGCTAATAATATCGCATATTTTGTGTAATTTTCACTTTATGACATACCTGGCGTGATTCTGAAGTGAAAATAAAGCTTATCGCGTAAAAAAGCCGATTTTCATCATCGATTGATCAGCTGATCAAGTTTGAGAGATATGCAGAATATCCGATTGTATTTCCCCAAGGCAAAATTGGCCTTTGATGACTTCAAATCCAGCTTGTGGCAAATTGTGCCTTTGCTCTTTATTTACCAAAGTTGATAAACCAATAATATTTCCAAAATAAAAAATATGAATCAAAATTTGAATATAAGATTTTGATGAAATATTCAACTTTGGATTTTTGAAAATTTATTCTTCAATCCTAAAACTCCATAGAGAGTTGATTATTTTGATTTTTTCTTTTCACTCTATTTATTGTTCAACTACAATATTCCCGATTAAACTAGACTCTATAGTTGAAGTGATTGCTTTGGCTATGATTAAGCAATTTACCCTCAACTAGTCGCAAAGCTCCTTCGGCTGGTGAATAGAGAGGATTGAGGTAATTTTTCAATTAAGCATAGAATGGAACTCGCAATAGAGCGTCTTGTGTTGTAAGATTGTAATCTGTTTGTGTTTCTGCCGGAGAATCTTCATCTCATCACATTGGAGCCTCCCTGGGCAGAATGGGAGCCACACCTTCTTCTTCTCCAGCTTCTCCCGTCCGCCCCGAAATTCTTGTGTCACTCAACGTCGCTCCGGCACTCCGAGTGACCTCTTGAGATCTTGGGTGATGACTCGCCAAAGAGTATCAGTTTCACCACAAAGGACGGAAGTGAAAATTGACTGGCGCCAAAGATGTGGGTAATTAAGCATTCCACGCGTAATCGAAGGGAATCAACCCTGCGGACTATTGAGGAAGTGGAGGAAAGGTGAAGGTTTCCCAGAAGAGAGCAACCATTGAGGAAGTCCACCTGCATTTGTGATGCGCTTAAGTGTCTTCTTCAGCAATATGCCCCAAGAAACTTCCTTATGGCTTCCACCCAGAGAAGCACAAGATTCTTTATTGTTAAACCACCACAATTGCAAATGCAAGCACCTGATTTGGCATTCCTTTCAGCTTCAGACATCGTCTATTTTAGCCACCTCAGGCTATATTTGCAGTAATAATAATTTCCATTATCTCTCCTCCTTTTGTTTCCCACCCAATGCTTCTTTATGGGCCAGTTGACTTGGAGAGTGCATTTTCCAATTTGAAATAATTAATGCAATATGGTGAGGCCTCAATGGTTCTCCTTCTCGGCCAATTTACTCCGTGTTTGTGGGTGAGAAAAGACACTTCCGTTTCTGCCACCCCAACTATTTTACATTCCCGAGGCCAAAGACAAAGACATTATACACTCCTCCGAAGACTTCTTGCCTTAATGGCATCGAATGGCTTTTCGCTGTTTTGATTCCTAAATTGACCATTGTCGCAGTCTTTCTGTTCTCACTGCAATTTCCTCAGCAACTGGAGGAGGAAATTTGGCGACAAATTACTGGCATTTTCATTTATTTAATGGCCTCCCAAGATAATTCACTTCACGACAACATTCGTAAAAAAAAACATCTTTTAGAGCGGTAAAAAGTGTTACTTGAATCGTGAAAATTAGGTTATGAATAAATTCCTTGAATTTAAAGTCACGTGAAAATCGAAATTAATTAACGATTGCAAGCTTATGTGGGTTTATTTTTCTTCAAGAAAAGCCCAGCGTTTTCCCTCTGTGTGGTCTCCGGTGGAGAGATGCTGACGTGGAGAATGTCTGCGCCACGAAGGATATCATCCTCAGTCAGCAATTAGGCGTGACATCACCGATTTATCACACTTTTTCCACCAGCCCAAAAATAGCTGAAATTTGTGCAAGAACACAAAACGCAGCGCCTGGAAAAGTGAGGAGGAAATTGAGAAAATCCCAGTGATTGTGAAGAATGCTCAATTGCTTGTTTCACTCATTGTGCCAATTATCTTTGCCAGTCGAGGAGCACAATGTTTAGTGTCTCAGGAGAGGCAGAAAAACTTGACACTGAATTTATGTGAAAATAAATTTCACTCGAGATTTTTCATGTCATTCCTCACCAATTTTCTCGACGGCGAGTCAGTAACTTTTCCTGAGCACATCTCAGAGTGTTTTTGGTGGAGAATTAATTTCACGTGTGCAAGCTGGGAAAGTCAATGGCGAGAGAGAAAGAGAAGCAATGTGAATTGGCTGTGAAGCCTCAGGAAGTTGGAAAGTGGTGAGAATTAATTAAATAATTTGCCATTTCTGCAGTGGTTCCTGCAACAATACACAATGGAGAAATGTGGTGTGTTTAGTTTTGCAAATGGGCTAAATAGACTTGTGCATTGCATTTTGGTATAATGTGAATAATGAGGGACTACAAGTGGAAATCACATTGAAAATATAAATTGTATTCGGACCCCTAATTAATTAAATGCCATACCCAAGCTCTCATCCCCATTCCACATCCCTCCAATGTGCGTATATACAATTTTCCCCCCGGGGGAATAACAATTGGATTCTGCCCTGCGAAATTTATACTGATTGCAATTTAAATTATTACCAATATAATTTCATTTGCAATTGCCAAAAACAATTCGTTCAGTGTGCCCGAGACGGGAATAATTGGGACGATGAATAATTGCGCAGATGGTTAAGGGTAAAAAAAATTGGGGTGGATTAATATTCATGCTGTATTAAATCCGCGGTTTCTGGACGATTTACTTATCATAATGAGGTTTTCGTCAATTATTTGCTGAAAGAATGTTGCTCGTCTTGATTATTGATTATTATTAGACTTTAAATATGATTTGTTCAATAATAAATTAACCATTTCATGGAATATTTTTTATATTGACCGTATAAAACATCAAAGATCATGAAAAGTATAAAAAGTTGATTTTTTAGAACTTGTTTTTGCCATATTTTAATCAAAAATTGCAATAAATTCCTATTTAATTAATTGGAAAGGTTAAAAAAATATTTATTACGCTTCGAAACTTGCCAAATTTACCTCAAAATCCCCAAAATACCTTCTAATCCTAATTGTTTATTGAATTTTTCAGTGGATTTTATTGGAATTTATTTACAAAAATATGACTAAATTAAAAAAATAAACTGAAAATTTTAGTTTTCACAGTCGATTTTTACTCATTTTCGAGAACATTTTATCCAGACAACTTCTAAATAATCAAATTTCTTCACAGTTTTCAAGTGAAAAAATTACAAGATATTAAAATATTATATTTATTCAAAATCTAAGAATATTTTAGGAAAACTCAAGAAGATCAGAGGCTGAAAAATTGACTTTCCATCGTTTTCGATTGACTCTTCGATTAGTGTTTATTAGCATTAAGTGTGTTAAGTCAATATCTTAAGCTTGATTTACGCCTTGTGAGATTAGTGAGCAATTCGCAAGGCATCTGGAGCTCCTGTGCGTTCAATTCGCGGGCACTTCGGGCGCTGGGCGCGAGTGGGTGGCTTGGTTGCGTGGACAATTTGTCCGGGAGACAGACTGTGTGCGGCGAAAGCGAGTGAATGGGCTGAATGCGGGCTTGAAATGGCATCCCCCGGAATGAGCATTAAATTAATTATAGCGGCACAGTGTCGCATCCACAACACGACACCCAGAATTACTCTCTGTCCCCCGTGGCCGCCCACCGGCCACCCCTCGGCTGCATTTGCACCGAATTCGCTCTCTCAATAGCGCTAAACACTTGTTTGAGAATGAAAACGATAAATAGCCGAATAAATCGTCTGTTTAATTGCTAAAATTTCAATTGAAAGCGCCCGCACCACCCCTCGAAAATCCGCCGAGGGATTCGCCCAGCGCTTTCTGTTGGTCAATGAATTTGTACGGACGCGAACACGATCGATGGCGTTGTTTCTGGCGGGAAAATTGCCTGGAGTTCGGGAATCAAAAGGGAGGCGTTGCTCGTATCCACCCCCAAACAATTGGCCAATTCGACCGATGAATTATTGCAATCATCCCGGTTTTATTACCTTTTGGTGGTTTTGTTCCCCGGACCATTGGAGGGATACTTCTCGACGGAGGGAATAAATTTCACCAATTGAGGCGGAATGCACGAGTCAGCGGGACAATTCTTCACCGCACAAGTCATCCCGGCAAGAGGCAGGGTCGATGACAATGTCAGATAAATTGCAGAAGAGTGTGAATTTGTCCTCTAGATTTTCCTGCAAGTTCTTCCTAGCAAAATTGTGTCCGACAATTTAACACCACTTTAATTGGCGAAACCGCCAAATTGTGGTCCTTTGATTTGCGATCAATGAAGGGGCTCGAGGGTGACGTTTTCCGGTGGAAAAAGTGCCGTGTGTGCTGTGTAACATCCGCTAAATGTCCAAATGCCTCCGTACACAATAATTAAATTAATTTCCCGCCGAGAACAGGACATTGAACAATTTGTCGTGGTTTTTCGCTATAACCGCGCTTTTTTGGTGGCGCCCCATTTAATTGAGTCCTAACCGAATTTTGTGGCTCCAGCAACACTGAAACTCGCTGTTCTATGTCCTTTTTTCCTGCCGCTGCTGCTGAAAAATGCGCGTAAGGCAAACATTTTCACACCATTAATGGTGCATTTTCCCTCGGTAAAATGTGCTTCGCGTGGAGAACAAACAAAAAAAATCTGTATTTCTCATAAATTGTGGGCATATTTTTTTGTCCAACACGCTGAAGAGAAAAAGCTTTCGATTGAATTCCCTTTAAATTCCATGAAATTGAGAATATTGAGCGCGGTTTTTTGACGATGGAATTCGCCTTCCCGAAAAAGGCGGGATAATGTGAAGTTTGCCGCTGTTATTTTCCATACGTTCCACATTTGTTTTGACGTCTTATTTCTGTACACAATGGAGCTTTCTCTCGCGGAAATTCGCAATTTTATGCTTAATAATGGGTGTAAAGTGACTAATCATGCTCTGGTGAAGCACTTCAAGGAGTTCCTCACAAATCCTGATACTCAAAGTAAGTGAAAATAGCCTTTTATCGACTTTCGTGGGCACTTTACGTCATTCCGTGACTCACCGTGAAAGAAAATCTCTTTTCGCCCACTTGTTGCTCTCATCTCACGTGGAAATCCAGCATCCGAGCAAAGTGTGGCACAATCTTCCTCTTTGGGGTGCTTCAGAGGATTTTCACTGTGTTTTTCGCCCAAAAATTCCCGTGTTTATCGTGACATAACCTCACAATTAACTCCCGGACACTTTGTGTTCTCTTCTCGCGACTGTCCAGATGAAGCGCGGAAGCAGTTCAAGACGTACGTGAACATTCTCGCGACTATTCGCACGGAGGACAAGCGCGATGGCTCGAATGAGAAGGAGAAATACTTAATTCTCAAGCCAAAATACCTTCATGAGTGTCCATCGGAGGACAATATTAGTCTGGCCAGTGGCACGCTCATGAGCCCCGCGTCGCGCTCCATCTCCTCGGAGATGGACTTCTCGCCTTCCGGAAGGCAGCCTCCGCCCTATCGGCCACCGCCGGATGTCTCTCCCGGCGCCTCAGGCTCGGGAACTCCGGCGAAAGTCGCCGTGCTTGAGCCACAAACCCGCGTGCAGTACAAGGATTGCATCAATGAGTATCGCACGGCGATCATGGCGCTCCAGCGACAGCCCAGCCTCGAGGCTCCGGTGGAGTTGCGCAGGAGCGAGAGTCAGGAGGATCCGCCACAAGTGCCGCCCAGGAAGCGCTCCAGCGCCGAGAGATCCTTCTCGATAGAGAAGTCCAGTAGCGATGACACTGTGTCGGAGTCCAACAAGGAGAACGTGGCCATCATGGAGGAGATGCTGGAGATTGCAAAGACAGAGTCAGAGAACAAGATCAGTGTGAAGGAGGCGACTAAGAAGTTCAATAAGATCGCATCCGAGGAGGAGAAGATCATCTCGCCGTCGTCGAAGAAGAAGCCAGAGAAGGTGAGTCTCACATGTTCCGTCTTCTTCTTCTTCTTTTGGGTTCTGGGAGAGTGCAGATATGATGCCCACGCATTCTCATCCTCTTCATCCCTCTCACAGACAATTCATATAGCCAAGCTTCACATGGTCTCTCACTCAGTTTTTGCATAAATAATTCCCAGACAGAGCCGTGAGATCCGCTCAGAGGCGCGTCATTGAGAGACTTTCGGGTTTTCCCTTGTTTTTCACCAGAGACAAGCACATCAGAGACTGCTGCAATTGCAATTTCATCGCACAGCGATTGCCTGAAGGCTCTAAAAGGGATCATTTTATCCACTTTTTCGCTAAATTTCTCTCAAATCCCAGCGAGAATTTCATCGTGCTCGAAAATCTGCTCACAGAAGCGCTTGTTTGAGGTCAAAGTGATAACTTTATTAACCCAAAGAAATGTAAAACACAATTTTAAGGGAAGTTCAGTAAATATGCCAATGAGCAAGTCACAAGGCGCATTTTGAGGAATCTCTATGATTTCAGTCAAATATTTATTTACTGACTATCACTTTGTATGGGAAAAATCAAAATTTAAGTAGAAATTATTAAATAAAATGATTATTTTCCAAGTAAAATTACAAATAATCTAAATTTTAATATTTTTAAGCAAAAGATTAAAATAAATCCAATTGAATTTAAGTGTTTCGTGAATGATTAATTAAAATTTAAGTGTTTGATAATTTTCCCCACATATTGCCGCCAGAGGGCAGCAAAGTTGGCGTGAGGGACGCTAATAATATCATATTTTTCGCATAATTTTCTGTCTTTTCTCACGTATTCTCACACTTTATGACTTCCTGGCGTGATCCTAGCCAGGAGAGAAGGAAATTTGAGCTAATCAATTTTGAAAGGCATGTAAAAGTTCCGATTATTTGTCTCAAGGGCGAAATTGGCCTTAATAATTACAAACTTAATGAATGCAAGTCGCGAGTGATTTTTCGCTTGGAATATGCTGAGAAAAGTGCTTTTATCTGCTCAATACTGAGCAGAAAGTGGCCTAGAAATTATTGTGCTCTAATGAGGCGATAAATCAGCTCAATTTTGGGGTGAAAAACATGCTGATTTGCGGTCTTCTCATCTGATTTCTCAATGACGAGCCTCTCACATTCATCTGCCAGAGTGTCGATGTATCCCATTGGCAGTGAGGAGTGTGTTGTGTAATTGAAAATGGTAAATTGCATCCGTGTTGAGTAGTATTTAATTAAAATTGTAAATAATTTTCGGATACAGCATCAGCCAGAAGCCTGGGATGCGAAAGGTATGCGCAACATTGTCCCATGCCATCATGTTGTTTTCAAATGCATTCTCAATGAAGTGTTTGCTGTCAGGGTTGTTTGAACATTTTCATTCCACATTCATCCCTCATCCTCCCCCTTCAATCCCTGGCAGTGAGAGAGAGAGAGAGAGTCCAGGGTTTGGAAGACAAGCTGTTGGAATGGCAATTGAGATTTCCCGGGAAAACGGAAATTTCTCCTTTGTCATGTGCTTCGGCATTGATGTTTGGCCGCAGGGTGACTTGAGTTGTGTTGTGTGTGTTTGTGTGTTGAAAGTTGCAATAATTGGGAATATATCTGGCTTCTGGGCGCATAAAATCAACCACTGGGTTGTCTAATTAAATGTTACCTCGAGGATCGCAACGTTTTTCCTCCACTTGTTGGTAACATTTTCAATGTTTTTGGCCCTAATTTGGGTGTTTCAACAAAAGAGAAGGGGGCGAGAGACGACGGAGTTTCTGTGCTCTCTGGTGGACTTTGAGAGTCTCTTCTCTCACTCTCCTACGCATTTTTAACCCCTCGTGTTTTTGCTGTCTTTTTTTTATTCTTTTTTCCTGCGCTATACCGTCTTCCCTGTGGTTTTCACAAGTTTATTGATATAAAATGAATGGGTGAACTTCAAGGCAGCCAGCATCAACAGCAAGAAGAGGAGCAATAAAAAGAAAATTTCTGAATCAAATATCTTTGAGTGAGTAAATGAACGTTCCCCGTGCGTTGTTGTGACAGGCGATGATTTAATTTTATGATTATTTTTAATTTACAACCGACATCAGTCATAAATTGTGATGCATGTGAATATGTGTGGCAGAATTGAAGATGTTTGTGCATTTGAGTGTGGCAAGGAGGGGGGGGAAAAAAGGGGGGTAGGAAAAAAGGCAAGCAACTGGCTGTTTCTCTTTTTATCTGCACATTCTCAAAGATGCCAGCAATTCACAGGTATTGTCTTGATCTCAGCACAGAAAGATCAATCATGGATCATGCGAAACGATGATGAAGTTTTGTACATTTCCAGGGTTTTTTTCTTTTGGTTTCTCTTGTTATTAGAATAGATTGTTTTTTAGGTGTATTTTCTCAGCGATATTCTAGCATTTTGCGTTGAATGTGAGATTCTTCGGTGTTCAATTTGGTTGTCTAGAGAATCTTGCGTCTCGCGTAGCGCTTCGATCCTTCTCACTGTTTTCGCCTGTTCGGCCCATGAAGATCCCCACGATGATGACGACAATGGCAAACGAGGTGAAGATGGGGAGCAATATCTTATGGGGCGTCTTATGTGTGAGAGACGTGAGAGAGAGAGAGAGAGAGAAAAACGGCGAGAACCTCATGTGATTTGCATAACATGAGGCCAATGGTAAGAGATCTCCTCCGTATATATTGCGCGTCTCTCAAGGTAGCGCATCAATTAAAGATAAATTTCTCCGTTTGCATCTTGTCTTCACGTCCCTCTCTTCACAACATTCGTGATGATGAAAAATTCACGAGGATTTCACTAAACTATATAATACTTGTCCAATATCATTTCTGGGCTGACTGGTCTCAAGTCCTCCCCATTTGAAGAAAAAAGAGAGAAGAAAAAAGAGAGAGTGAGAAGTGTTGAGATGAAAAATGATTCATTGTTTCAATCATGGTGGATTTATGCCATTTCAGATGAAGAAGTTCATAAAGATGAAGTACAAGAAAAAAAAACCCCGATCTGGGCTTGTGTTTGATGGTCGAAAAGATGAAGTTGAGAGAAAAGTAAAGGGATATTTTGCACAAGAGAGAGAGAGAGAATGAGGAGTTTGAGAAAATGAGCGATTTGTGGATTCGTGCAATGAAAATGATTTACGGATGTCTTGAAAAGTTATACGGCTTGTTTGATTTTATCACAAACTCTTTTTTTCGCACTCCCTTCTTGACCTCACAAGCGGCTGTATTTATATATAAGTGAGATGGATATGCTTTTTTGGGGTCTGGCAAATATTGTTGTGTGCCTTCGAGTGAGAGAAATTTATGATGTGTTTCTTGGTCACTCAAGATTGAACTGAATATGCAAATGTTGAGGGTATTTTTTTGGCGAGAAATTGCCTCGTTCGTCAATTAAGTGCAAAATGCAAAAAAAGGAGGGTTTGTCTCCGCCACTAGATGGCTCTGTGCGGTGTGTGAGCTCATCGAGACATTTGCATTGTAGAATTTTCGTGAAGGAAGCACACTTTGTGGGGGAGGAAAACGCGTCCGCCCACCTCCATAGACAGGAGAATTCCAATAAATTAGCCCAAATTAAGCAATCTACCCTGTCCTAATCAGCATGTGGCTATGGTATAATATTGAGAAAATCTCGCCCCACACTCCACCCATTATAAATCAATCACATCCCATTTCACTTGCGTGCCATCCCAGGAAATCCACACTAAAATCTATTTGCAAACTTTGAATTGCAAATTTGTCTCCGCCATCGTACGTTGTCGTCGTCGTTCACTTTCCTGATTAAGATCCGGATTTCTCTCCCTCTGCGCGCCACCCATTTGGAATATATATACCGACTTGCGAACAACACTGTCTTGAGGCCTCAAAAATCCCTTCTTGGCCATTGGAAGATTTTCACAGAAATCATCAGCTTTTCTCAAGAGTTACACTCAATTTCGCCTTCTGCTGTTGCTGCTTTGGGGAGGGAAATTAAAGACAGAGAAAGAGAGAGAGAAAGAGCGAGGAAATTAGATGACAAAAGTCCGGACGATCTTCTTCGAGATGGAAAGTTTCTCTCCGAATAAATTTACCCCCAAAGAACGCCTCCAAAGTCACACAGAGGAATGGAATTCTTTGGATGTCACCCAGAAAACTTTTCAATCTGCTGCCACACTTAGTCACTGTCTCACCATTTCTTGTTCTTCTATCATTGGCATGACAAAATGGGAATATGTACATTGAGAGCGTGTATAGGTATTAATATACAGAATGAAAATTTTGTTTGACGACAACAGCTGGGGATCTCAAGTGTGACTTTCATCTCTCAACCATTGGCAAAAGAATTTGTCCAACTTTTCGGCACGTCTGTTTATTTTCAAACAAACAACCCTCGAGGACTCATTTGCACTCCGGCATCACTCTGGGTATATTTTCAAACGTGAGACATTCTGAACAGACAAAACACTCTCTTCTGTCCCAGTATTTCTCTTCGTGTTCCTTTTTTTTCCTCACTCCCCATTCTTCGCTGAAGAAATAATATTTTATTTTATGTATGGACGAATTTCAGCAGGGTCATGATATCCGTTGATACATGCGTTACACACGCAATTATTTGAAAAGTTATTGGGCATAAATTTCACGGCTTTTGGAGTGTGTTTAGAATAATTGTGGAGAGAATTTCCCAACATGACCTGAATTCCTGGAATATTGAGCTGTCCGGAAAAGTCAAATCAAATGGGAAGCTATAAATCATGCTTAGAAAATTGAGGTTTCTCAAAATTTGCATTTTCTTTTAAATAATTAGAGTAATTCTCAGTTACACACAAGCGTTGTTAAACTTCAAATTCAATTCTGGCTAAAATAATGTTTAGCAGAGGAAAAATGGTGAAATTTGTCAAAATTATTAATATTCAAGTTCATAACTGGTAAATCAGTGATAAAAAGAATTTATCGTAAGCATTATTCATGTTCATGCTTGAAAATTAGAGCAACAATTGCAGATTTGTCCATTTTCGCAAGATATTTGCAGATTTT